AAAACTGAACAGAGTACTCGAGGTGCGGCCTCACCAGTGCCGAGTACAGGGGCACTATCACCTCCCTGGTCCTGCTGGCCACACTATTCCTGATATAAGCCAGGATGCCATTGGCCTTCTTGGCCACCTGGGCACACTGCCAGCTCATATTCAGCCGGTTGTCAACCATCACCCCCAGGTCCTTTTCTGCCAGGCAGCTCTCCAGCCACTCCTCCCCCAGCCTGTAGCGTTGCATGGGGTTGTTGTGACCAAAGTGCAGGACCCGCCACTGAGCCTCTTTGAACCTCATACAGTTGGCCCCAGCCCATTGATCCAGCCTGTCCAGGTCCCTCTGTAGGGCCTTCCTACCCTCCAGCAGATCAACACTCCCACCCCACTTGGTGTCGTCTGCGAACTTTCTGAGGGTGCACTCGATCCCTCATCGAGATCATTGATAAAGATATTAAACAGAACTGGCCCCAATACTGAGCCCTGGGGAACACCATTTGTTGCTGGCTGCCAACTGGATTTAACTCCATTCACCACATCTCTTGGGCCCAGTCATCCAGCCAGTTTTTAACTCAGCGAAGAGTAAATAGGGTCTCAGTGCTTCATAAATTTTCCTGCACCAGTCCAGTCTGGTCCCTGGCTCATCACTGCGCTGTTTTCATGCTCTCTGGATTCTCCCCATGCTTTTCTCATCCTCTCACGTTCCTTCTGTCTTCCTTTACATCCAACTGATCCAACACAAGCAGCCATTCTCACAAGTGCTGCTTTAAATTAAGACTGTTACATAAACAGTTACTAAACTCATACAGGAGGTCAGTTAGATAATATGGTATATACCTCCTTTCCCTCAGGTGTATACCACTGTCGCATCCGAAGAGTAATCAGTTTGGAAGGGTGCATGAGGTGTCACTTGTACAAGCGACAGACGACAGTATCTCATACAAGAAGCAACATCACACAGTTTCAAGCCAATTTTCTCTTTAAAATTCCACTGCTCTTTTGCAACCAACTTTCAACTTTTGCTAGTCCTGAATATCAGTCATTTCTCCACAGAACCTTTTGCATCAGAGTCTGGCCTCCAGAGAATCAAAGCCACGTGCTGAACCAGGCCTTCTAGGCTAAGACAGATTTTCCCCTCTCGTGGGAAGCAGTCCCCTATCACCTCCCCTAGAAACAGGAGGGAAGGTAGCTCATCAGTCTTTGGCCAAATGAGCTCAAGCGAAATGCAGAATAAGGGTCCTTTCAGTGATTCAAAGCCTCTTTTGAACACCGTTGGGGTTTTTTTTGGTTTTTTTTTTTACGTTTTCTTCAAATTTTAGAGTACTTTTAACTGCCAGTATCATGCCAACATTCAACCTGATGAGACAAGTTTAACCACCAACATCCCCCTCATGAAGAGGATGGAATTCCCTGATACGAGTGCTAAGTAAAAGCAAGTCACAAGCTAAATCGGTGAGACTCAAGACACTCACCTCCTGACTGCTAAATAGCTCTGCACTGGTTGATAATTCCTGACCTTCCAAAAATCTAAAATATGGGCCTTTCCTGATGGTTATGATTCCACTTACGAGCAGCAAGGAAAATATTTAGTGAGTCTCCAAATGCCTTGAACAGGGTATTTTCTAATCTCTGTTTGTAAAGCCAAATACGGACAGCAAACTGTCTTTCAGCAGGGTATATAAGCTTCTAAATCTTGTAGTACTTGAGGCATCATAATCCCCAAGCAGGCACATGGCCTAAGAGACAGACTCATGCATTTTGTATCTTAAAGTCACATACAACTTTCACAACCAAGCCGCTTTCAATAACCATTCCACTATTTTTGTACTAAGTAGGTGAGATTCTGATTCCAATTGTTGTAATTTAAGTAAAGCTGAGACACCAGACACCTTGCAACTTTTCAGCTAGCATTATTCATGGCACTGGAAAGCAGGACCACAATACCCATCCTATTGAACAGTAGCACCCAAATTGTAGCATGAAAGGAAAAAAAGCCCCAGTGATTATTTGCATTATCTATTGCAGCATAATGCTAATCAGAACCTGTCCCACTATCTTTGTGATTGCTTACAAATGAGTGCAAAAGAACTCAAGAAGAACTGCAAAACTGCAGATTTCTAGCTTGATTTAAGCCCCATACAAATTAGAAGAAAATTGCACCTGTGCAAAAAGGTGGCTCCCAGCCTTCTACAATGGCAAAGTATTTCTTTGGAGTCCTGCATGGATTGATCATATAGCTGGTCACTGTTCATTCAATTAATTTTCTATCCTAAATTGTGATTTATAAAAACACCTAAATTGTCCGTAGAAGTTTTCTCCAGAATATCACTGTGAAGCACTGGGGGGGCTGGCAAGGCAGAATGATAGTTGCTTTTTCTGGTTCACAGCCATATTATATATTTGCCTCATGTTTTAGCAACACCTTAATTAAAATTTTAGTTTTAAAATCATTTATTACTCAGAAGCAGTAACTATCCGAAACAGCATATGGGTTTTGGTCAGTGTGAAGTTCATGCTGACTAGCAAAAAGCTATTTGCACAGAAGAAAAAGTGTTACCTGGCACTGACGAAACAACAAATTTGAAAGCAGATCTTTGAAAAATACTTGCCTACCACATACTATCACTCAGTATTAACATTTTGAGGAGCTGAGCAGAGTGACCAGTATGTAGCAGTTTTCTTGATCTGCTAAGTACAGGCAAAACTTCAGCACATAAACAGTTTGGGTTATCAAAACTGAGGTCCATAAAGCAAGCCCTAGAAGAGAGTATCTTTGAAATTTATCTGAAAGCTTCAGATCAACATTTATAGCCAATTTCATAGATTGGAGTTTCCAGAAAACTTTTTTTTTTTTTATTTTTAATGGGTTGTAACAAAACAGTTAAGCTGATGAATTCCAGATATAAGTCCTCCCACCACCAATAGCTCTATGAAGGAATAAACCAGTGTTCAATATTAATTAAAAACACAAACCAAATTTTAGGAACTACTGGGAGGAACAAAGAGCATTGTTATGACTCTCTATATATGCCCACGTTATGCTACATGTTGAATACCATTCTATTCCCCAATTTTTCAAGGGTTATGGTAGGATTAGGAAAATAAAGGTAAAAAGGATAATCAAAGGCATGAACTGGCTCCTGCACAAAGAGCATCTAAATAAACTATGAATGCTTAGCTTCGAAAAGAAGGTACCTGGATAGAAGATACAACAGAAGTCCAATAAACTCACAAGTGACAAGAAGAACGTGAACACGGAGAGACTTTTTATCACCTCTTCCAACTTGAAAATGAGGCAGCTTCAAATGAAACTACTTGGCAATAGGTTTAAAACAAACAAAAGGGAATACAGTTTTATAAAACCCATAGGAAAGCTTTGGAACACACCACCACAGGATGTTGTGCTTTCAAAAGATATTTTTCTAGCTTGAATACTTCTGCAGATTAAGGCCCCCTTTGTCCTAGGACAGCCACACAGAGAGAGCTGCACCTATATCCATCAACTACTTTTGACTATTCAGGTTCTAATTTGGCTTTTTATTCTTCTTTCCCTCCTCTCTCTGTCAGTGATGAAATATTTCTCCACACCTGAGCACACGTGCTGTCATAAAGCATCTTGCTGCTACACAAAAACTAAGCTAACTGTAAAGCAACTTAGCCTACCCACCAACCCAAAATCAAGATCCAACGCCAGTCCTCACTTACCCAGATCCTTAGGAATGTCAAATAACCGCTCGCATAAGTAGTAGTCATCCGAATTCAAGTAGGGCAGGTGCTTCAGCAAGCTCTGCTTAGGAATGAGATACAAGACCTCTGCAATATCCCCATCCTCAATAATTGACACCCTTTTGACTGAATTTCGGAATTTCACCTTTTCCAGCACCAATTCTTCAGTTTTACTTGATCCACACAGCTTCCCAAAGCTGTTTAGGATGGTGAAAGACTGCATTTCTGCTGGGGAGAAGCTAGGGAAAGCAACCTGTGGTGCACTCACGGCACACTGCCCTTACCAATCCTTCTCTTTTTCTCTTATCCAGCAAAGCAGATTAAGGAAGATATATTTTTAGTGATTATCTTCAAGAGATTATGACAGTATGCTTGATCATGTGACTGCCATCTAAAACTATTGTAATCAGTTGCAACTCATTCCTGGGAATGCAAAAATCAGAAGCCAAACCATAAAGAGTATCTGAAAATCAGATTAATATTCAGGACAAGACAAAGAACGTAACTGAGGTATATAAGAGGATTAGTTTAAAATGAAAAAACCTTGCTGTATCAAAAATCTTATTATGGAAGAATCATTATCATAAGCTACAAATGCACATCTGTGCATTTCATCTACCATGCCCCTGTTCCATGCCAGGTCTGTACGTGTGCTATGGCGAAAAGGCTACAGTAAAGGTAGAGCATGTTTGTCCTCCTTTTTGAAGAATGTACAAAGGCTGGCTAGCACTACTTCATAAGCAGATTTCTTTGGAGAAATCCTTTCTGCAGCTTTCACTGCCTATTCCAAACAAAAGCACTTAAGCTTTCCCCTAACTATTAAGGATTAGTTCGCTCGTGCTCTTCCTCTCCACTTTCCTGTGTAGCTGACAGGAGAAGCTTTACAGATACTGTGCCAACCCTTCCTGCTTCACTTACAAGAAGTATTTACATTAATCCAATTCCAGTGACTTGCTAATCTAATCATCTAATGAATATTTCTCCCTGGGTAAGGGCAGAGTTAATCATCAACGGGGCACTGGAAAGTTACAGGAAATTCCACAGTGAAAGACAAAAAAAAAACAAACCCAAAACCCCAACCTAAACCAACATTTATTATGTGTAAGAGAAAGTTACAGGTAGACCCCAGACCAGGACCTGCTCAGAGACAACTTCAGATCCTTTACTCAGCCAGACTCCCAGAGACAACTGCGCAGACAGTGTCTGGCCCAGGCTTTCAGTTCCCCTTAAGGTACAGAAGTTAGCGATAGCTGCAAAATGACCTGGTGTAATAATTGCACTGCTTCCAGTAAGGCTTTTGCTAAATTAGAAGGTGCAAAAAACCACCAGTAGGCTTACTGAGCGCAGTGAGAAACTGTCATTTAATTCCTCCCTCAAAACCCAGAGTTCAAGTACTATCTACAGATAGGGACAGGCTTTGAAGAGAAGACTGCTTTATTTACTGTTTTAAAGAGAAAATATCATTTCACTAATCCAGACATTGATCATCTATTCTTACACACCTCCTGTGAGGTCAATTGCTTTTTATTTTTCAAGTTGTATGACTTCTATGTTACCTTGAAAACAAGCCTGAAATCATAATTTCCCTTAAACAGCCATTCTCCTGGGTTTTATAATCAATCACAGACACAGTGGGACAAAGCCAGAATAAATCTGCACCACTGTACTATATTTAATGGGGTGATGCTAATGTATATTTGAGGAAGAGCTGGCTCAATAAAGATAGCAATTTGAGTTCTGCCTTAGAGTATCTTCTATCAGATCAGAGACCTCAGCAAATGCTGTGTTTTAAGTACTCCCCCTAGGAAATGAAGCTTTGCAGTAATTTTTCAGTCTCTCCCAGATTTCACAACCTACTGACCTGCGCACCACAGCCACTTAGTGGAAAAGACATATCTTCTGAAACTCCAAAAGCTCCTACCGCTTCAGCTGAAGGTGGATCACCACTCTGTGCTTAAAGCAGAGGGATGACTCATAGGAGACGGCTGGATGCACTCTAACACAAGTATCTCTCAGCTTAATCTACGAGTATCATTTGTTGCTGGATAATCGGTGAAGGATGTTGACATCTGACAACAGCAGTGCCAGCTATCCAGCCTCACCAGCACGTCAAGGTGGACTCTGCCCTTTGAGGTAGGTGAGGCAAAAGCACACATTGCCCTGGCATTAACTCTGCTGCAGAAGTTAATCCTCAGAAAGCAGGAAGGTGAGCTCTGCAGTAACTTTTTAAACTGTGGCAACATTTGCTACAGCTTGGCTGCCTAAATCCTAGAAGAAAAGCTTGTCCTTCATTGGAGTTTGAATGCACTGGTTTAAGACTGACTCCCAGTTTTCTGTTGTAGCCGTGTGATTCCAGCCTTCCACCTATACTCACCCCGACAGTTGTTACATCAGCTATCATGCAATAAGTACTAAACTAGTATGATCTGCTGTGTAGCAGTAGTGAGAAGAAACTGCAGTCTTCTCCCACAAAACCAAACACCATATAAGCTGTATAAAGCCTCTGTCGATTCCTTTCACTCACAGTTTGCCCAGAAGAGTTGCAACTAGGTGACAGAGGTGCAGCAGCAGAGCAAAGGCCCAAGAGGCTGAACCCACCTTCACCCATGCAGGGGTCTGTTCCTGCTTTTGGCAGGCATGACTTCTGCAGGGAGAGCAACTCCAGCGTTAGCTTGGGAGGCAGCAGAGACCGGTGCCCTTTTTCCACAGTATCTCCACTACAGGACCGGTCAGCCTGTGACGGCAGCAGAAGGGTCCAATGTTATTTCAATTAGTGAAGGGCAATCCAGTCTCCTTCTGCCACCACGGCACACGGGATTGGTGGGGGACCATGGGAACAGCTCGGTTTAGCCTAACGTTTTGTGACCCTAACATGACACTGTAGAAGCATCCTGCTTAATTAGAAATAAGGTCCTCCTTCCTCTGAGAGAGACTACTCTAATGATGCCCCTTTCCAGCCCTAGCTATTGCTGTCATTGTCTGATAACCACAATCTCAAAGACCACATACTAACTGCTGCTTATAACACAAAGCACTATGATTTTTTGTTAGTGTTTTTTTAAGTACAGGGTATGTCTTTAAGAGCCTCCATCCTGTTAATATGTCATGTAAGAGGACAAGAAGTAGAAGTGAGCAAAACAAGACCAGGAAGCATCACGGTGGCGTCCCAAGTCAGCCAAAGGGCTGTCTGGAGCAGCTGGCTCCAAGGATCAGATCCTTGTGTCCAAAATAAAGGACAAGGCCTGAGACAGCCTTGTACAGCACACTGTTACCAAGCATTGGGATTTAGCCTTAGCCAGAATCAAAAAGACAGTGGCAATCTCCTACCACTTAAGTCATGCACTCGATGAAGTGGAAAAGACTGATTTCTAATATTTTTGCTGAAAAGAAAAAGGCAGAAAACAAGGGCACAACCCTGTTTCTTGAAACCTTGTTTCTTGAAACGCATTCTCAGGAATCCAGGGTGCCCAACCCAGAAGTAGTGTTGAGGAAATTTCCTCATTATCTGCCAAGTAGCAAAATATTTTTAAACCACTGGCAATTCAAAGCTGTGCCTAATCCGAGTATTCAGTGCTGGGGGCTCGAGCCTTCACAGAGCACAGTTTGAGGTACGGGCACTTTCCAGACTGACAGTTTTCACAAGGGACTGGATATGAGACAGGAATTAGGCAAACTAGCTACTTTAAATATTTTATCTCGTCATCAACTTTATAAATATTTTATTTATAAATATTTTCAGCCGTCTCAAGATCATTATTCAATCCCCTCTGAATTCACCAAACCAACTGGCTGCCCAGATGATAAAAATGCATATATGTTTCATATACAACCAGGAATAGAGGCTTCTGTCCTGATCCTACTAGAACAGAAGTACCAAAAAAATTTGACTGCAATCCACAAATAAATTGCACAACAGAATAGCAGGCATTGAATAATAGCAAAAATTAGACACCAAGGGCTAAAATCATAGCAGAAGAAATATCCCTCCATTCTCCTGAGCAACACTGAGGATTAAGCTGGCCCTTCAGCTAAATAAAAGGCAGAAATGTGTAGTGCACTAATGCTGTCTTTAATTGCTTCTGCCATTAGAATTAAACTTCCTGCAAATGCATTGCAATGTGACTTTATTCTTGTATTGAAAGCAACAAAAACTCCAACCAATTGAAATTGAAAAAAACCCCAAACCAATTGAAAGAAATTGAAGTCAGTCGTATTAGTTCAGCAAAACCTAGCTGCAAAGAAAAATCAAAACCACAGAAAACAAGGTGAAACAAAATGAAATTTTCCTTTTCCCTCATACCACTTCAGAGGGTAACACATTTATTGCACAGGTAGATAGCCCCACATAATGTTTCACGCATCTGTCCAAGGCAACAGGATTGTCTTATTCTCCTATGTAAGAATTCTCAAAGATATTGAGAGTATGGAGGAAAAAAAAAAAAAGGGCCTTCACATAAATGAAAAATGAGCAAGCACTATGTCTATTTATACCAAGAAATATAGTTACTCAAGCAATAAAATAACTGAGACAGCAAGAGGGAACAAAAAATCATTCTAACATTCAACTTGACACACAAAAAAAAAGAAACAAAATTACTCCATACGTGCAGCTTTTTCACTTTCGACATACACAATTCCCTTACTCAAGACTGCAGGCTGACGTACAAAACAGACAGCTATTCACTGTAAACTTGAGGAAACACTTCATCTACATACCGGAGACCAAAAAAATCCACATGCACATCTTTAATTTCTTTACCTAGATGTCCGAAACAGGCAGTCATCTTCTGGGCATACTGACACAAGCCATTCTCGCTGTAAGGTTCCTCACCAAGGATCTGTTCACTCATTGCTTCAGAAGGAGCTGCCTTTCGCTGCAAAGTCAACCAACTGCTGCTTGCTTGAGACTGATAAGACAACAGAGCTTCCTCTTCCAATTTATCTCCATTAATAATTCAGGTACTACATAAAATTTGCTGAGCTTTAAAAACCGGTAGTGCAAAGCTACTCTGTGGCTTTTGAAGTAATCATGTTTTAGTCCTTACAAAGTATCTCAGCTAATTATTATATATATTATATATATATATATTATATATATAAATTATTCAGTTTAAGGAAAATATTTTCAAATTGCAACAAAATCCATTCTCTTCCTGCACAAGGGGAAATATTCTTGAGATTATGCTCAGATCAGTGAGACATTTAAAATATTCACCCAGCTCG